TGCCGCCCTGCCGGCGCCTCCCTGGGTTGCCATTGCATGTGAGCTTCTTGGTGGCCTGCCCCCCGCTGGGCTCCTCTTCTGGCCCCTTGACCAGCCCGTGCCTGGCTCCCTTGCCCCTCTTCCCCCTCCCCTCCTTCGCCTCCGCGCCGCCCTCGCCTCGCTGCCCGTGCCCACTGACGTGGCTGCGGAGCCGCTTGCGCCTGGGCCGTGGTGCCTCTCCCTCCCGCTCTGGGGCAACCCGCTGCTCCTCTCCCCCTCGCACCCTGCCGGCCTGGATTCCTCCTTTGCTGACTTTCTGGGTGCAGGGGTGCACTGCCTGCGCCGCTTGCTTGAGGTGGAGCGAGCCGCGCTGGCGGCGCCGACCCAGGCGGCCTACACTGCCGACGTGCGCGGCCCCCTCCTCCGCTCCTCCTACGCCTTCGTTGAGCGGCATGTGGCGCTGGAGCGGGTGGCACAGCTGCTGGCTGCCCTGCCCCTGCCCTGGGTGGCGGCGGCGCGCGCCGCTGCCTCCGCTGCCGCCGCTGGCCTGGGGCAGTCGCTGTGTCCCCGGGCTGTTCTTGCCGGCACCTTCTTGCCGCGCCTGGGCTGGCGCCGCTCTGATGGCCGCCCTGTCCCCCTTGCGGCTCTGACCGTGCGCGCCGCAACGGCCCTCCTGGCTGCCCCTGCGGTTGAGCACCGCGCCGCCACCCGCCTTGCCCCCTTTGCCGCCGCCGCCGCGGCTGCTCCCTCCCCCGCCGCTGGCCGCTGGTATACGATGCCTTGCCCACGGCGGCCCGCATGCACCGGGATGAGCCCTGCCTGTGTGGTGCCTCTGGCCCCCGCCCTGACCGCCACCACCACTTCTGGGCCTGCCCTGTGGCCTGCGCTGTTGTTGCCGCTGTCCATGCGGCCCTGACTGCCGCTGCCCCAGCTGATGCCCCTCCCCCTCCCCTTGTCCCCGCCGACATCTGGCTTGCCCGCCCCCCGCCTGGCGTGCGCGTTGGCGCCTGGGGTGTGGTGTGCCTGGCCGCTGTGGAGGCCATGGACCGGGGCCGCCGCAGCCTGGCGGCCGAGGTGCTGCGCCGCCGTGGCGCCCCGCCAGCGCAGCCCGCCGGACCGCGCTTCACCCAGCTCACCCTCGACGGCTTCCTGCACCAGCCGGCCTCGCGGCCTGCTGCCGGCGCAGCCTCCTCCGGCGGCGGCACTCAGGACCCGCCGCCCCCGCCGCTGGAGCCGGCCGCGCCTGGCCCCGCAGCACCGCAGCCAGCAGCCACGCTGCTGGAGGCTGCCCGCCGCGCGGCTCTCCAGTCCTTCTGGTCCCTTCTCGCTGATTTTGAGGCCCTGGGCTGTGCCCCCGCCTCTTGGGTTGACAGCCTTGGCCCTGCCCACCCCTTTTTCTTCTCTACCGGCGGCCGCGTTCGGCTCCGCCCCCCTCCTGTTCCTCCCCTTGCTTGATCGTCAATCAGCTCCGCTGGCCCTTCCCCGCCTTTCTCCTGACTGTGCCCTCCTCACCCCTTTTCTCGTGTCCGTCTTCCCTCTTGCCCATCTTCTGCCTGCCTGCCCTGTGCCCGCCGCCTTGCTGCCGCGCTGCTCGCCTGCTGTGCCGGCTTGCATCTGGTTGCCCGTGCGCTGTCGGCTGCTGCCTGGCTGTGGTGCCCCTTGGCTGGCTATTGCGCCGTGCGAGGTGTGCTTGGAACCAGTGGAGGTGGTTGCGCTTTTCCGCAGTCACGCCATCGGGGACCCGCCGGCAGTGTGCTGCAGTGCCTGTGCGCCTGTGCTTGCTCGTGCGCTGCTGTGCCTGCCGCGCTGCCGCTCGGTGTGCTCTCTCTGGCATCCCCCTTTCTCCCCTCTCCTCGTTGGCAGCTGGCTGCCCCCTTCTCCCGTGTGATCTGACCTGAGCCTTGGCCCCCTGCGTCGCCTGCCCTCCGAGGCGGTCCCCGCCCGCCCGCCTGGCCGCTCCCCCAGCTTCTGTGCCGGGGTGGGTGGCGTCTCTGAGCCGCTTGCGCCGCCTGCTGGCGGTCCTGGCCCCTGATCCCCGCTTCCCCCTGTCTTTTGCCCCCCGTTTCCCCTCCTCACAACGCTCTGACAGTCACTGGGATGGCTCCCAGGCACCCCCCCTTTCCCTGCCGCCCGCTGTGTGCAATTGGCTCCTCGCAGCCCCGCGCTGTTTACACGTCAGACTGATATGCCAGATGTGCACTCATGATGTTATTGATGGACAGTGCACGAAACTGCCGCCGACGGCACTCAGGCCTGCCCCTTCCGGCTCATGTACTGGCCAGCCATGCTGCCATAGGCCTCGGTCCAGCTGTCCACGCCAGCTGCCGCCTCCATGTTCCGGTTGCTGTAGGCCGAACCGGCCTTGGTGAGGACGCCGGCCACGCAAGAGTAGGCCTGCACCAGCCAACACAATGGAACACAGGCCCAGCTCACACCAAGTGCACCAGGCTTCCATGCCTGACCCAGGCGCTCATGATCCGAACAACCCAAGTTGCAGGACTGCCACACGACAGGCAGTCCACTCACCCGCATCCACTTGGTGCCTGGCGAGGCCGCCAGCTCCCCGGGTGCGCGCCGTCGCAGCGCCCGATCCTCCAGTGAAAGCTTGGGGGAGAGGGCGGGCACGGGGCATGCGCCGCTCGAGGAGCTCCTGCCCAGCGTTGTGGTGCGGCTGCGGCTGGTCCAGCTGCCACTCGTCACCAGCGCTGAGGCACTACCGGGGCTCACAGCGCAGGCCGCCCGCCACCTGCCGCTCCCCGCCGCCTTGGGTGACAGCAGCAGCAGCCGCTCGTTGAGGGACTGGGTGCGGACGGGTGGCAGGGGGGTATCGAGGGGGGCAGAGGGGCCAGGGTGCTCAAAGCTGCTTTCAAACGACACGCGCCTGCTCACGCCTGCGCCACTGCCGTTGGCAGAGCCCAAGATCACAGGGCCGCCTTCGTCGCTGCCGCCACTGTGGCTGCTGCCAATGCTGCTGGTGGAGCTGGAGGTGAGGTGCGCTTCCTGCTGGTTGGCTGCCCTGCCTGCCAGTAAGCTGGGCACGGCTGCATCAGCAACGGCCCCACAGGCGGCTGCTCCCATCGATGCGCTCCTGGGCTGCGCTGGCGAGCGTGGCGGCTTTGGCGGTGGAAGGAGCGGCAGCTGGGCAGGGTTGGATGCAAATGACCATGCTGCCGCCGCTGGCACTGCCACTTGAGCGCTGGTGCTAGGCGTGTCGGGGGTGGCAATCACCAGCGATGGCACTGACCCCCCTGCTGCTGTAGCGGCGGCGGCTGATGCCTCCAGCCACTCGGACTGCACCCTGCCAGATGGTGTGGAGCGCACGAGCACCGCCAACAAGCTCTGCTCCTCAGCCGCTGCCGCCGACAGGGCAGCAGCAGCCTTGATGTCCCGCTGCCGACGGCGAACATCGTGCCACAGCTGCGAAGCCTCACGCTGCAGCAAAGGGGGGAGGGGGCAGGCAGGTCAGGGGAGTTGGAGGATGAATAGCCTTCACTAGCGGTGTGCGTGCATCTCAAAGATGGGGGTAGCACTGATCGATCAGCCGTGTGGGGTGGAGCGCAGCTGGCAGAGACGCGGCTCACCAGCAGCCTCCACATCAGCTGCTCCGTGGGCTGGACAAACCACACGGTCTGCTGCTGTGCCTGGATGGCTGCCATCATCTGCGCTCGCGCCCCCGCACCAGCGCTGCTGGTGCTGCTGAAGCTGCCTGCCCTGGGCGCTGAGGTGCTGCCTGCGTCGCTGCCACCCCACGGCGCGAGGCCCAAAAGCGCGGCGGAGTCGATGTCTGCCAGCAGCTCGGCGCTGGCGACCACCTGGCTCTGATCTGATGCAGAGGGAGGCGCCAAGGCTGGCGCTGGCGGCATCGCCTCCTCAGGCTGGCGAATGCCCCCCGACCTGCATCAGGCCAGCGCGTGCGGCATGGTGGCTTGAGCAGAAGCAGGCGGGGAGCCAGGCAGCAGCACCAAGAGACTGCCATACCCACACGCGCACCTGCGGAACAGCATCTTGAGGGCCTCTGTGCTGCTGTCCAGGAACTGGCGATGGCGATGCTCCGAGGTGACGGCCGGCGCCGCCACCGGCTGCTGCTGCTGGCGGCGGCACACCGACTGGAAGCTCTGCACGCGGGGCGGCAGGATGTCTGCCACTATGATGCTGGCATCTACGTGGTTCTGCCTGCATGGCATGGGCAGGGCACGCATGCACATTGCTCACAAGACTGCTGGGCTTTTAACCCCAGGCCAAACGAGTAGCTCTTCCATGTCTTACCCTGCCGCTACCTCAGCACTGCCCACCACCGTTTTGACCACCGACCTGCTGGTGCTGATGGCCTTGACCACCTTGAAAGAGGCGGTCTTGAGCGGCGCGTTGTGCATGAGCTGCAGCAGGTCCTGCCCATGGCCCCACACACCTTCGGTCGCCAGAATGAGCCGCCCGCCGCTGGGGGGCAGCAGCACCTGCAGCAGCGGGAGGACACGGCATGGAGAGTGAGGATGCGCAGTAGGGGGGCGTATAAACGCAGGCGTGGGCCCTTGCAGGGCGCCTGAAGGCCAGCAAGCTGCAGCCAGCGCGGCAACATGCAGCTTGCCTGCTTGATGTGCGGCAGCGGCAGCACCGCCTCGCTGATGGCAAAGTCGCCGATGGAGCGGCTGAGCGCCAAGCCGCCTGCGGAGCAAGCAAGCAGGGACGCGTCGGATGAGTGCAGCTCCCATCATGGCAGGCGCACTGCCCTGCCACGCACGGCCCTCCCAGGCCCAGCCAAATGCATCTGCCGCAAGCATGAGCAGGCACAGAGAAGGGCGCAGGTGCAGGCCAGCCTCGCACACAGCTCGCACCCGGCCACAACCGCAGCACGCCGTCGCCGCGTCCTGGGTGCCGTGCGGGCCCCAGCGAACCCACGTCCATGTAGGCCACCTCGCAGCCTGCAGCCGACAGCCGCTGGCGCTCCGCCACGTTGCTGCTGATGCGGTGCTCCACGCTGAGCGTGAGCAGGCTGCCCAGGCAGCCCATGTCCAGCACGCACCGCCCGCTGCCCAGGCTGGCCACCGTGAGCAGGCGGCCGGCCTGGAGCGCCACCGTTGCGGTGCAGCCTCCCTTGCGCCCCACCCCGCCAAACTGGCGGTGCAGCTCCAGGAACGCCAGAACCAGCGCCTCCTGCAGCTGCGCCGCCATCTGGGGGGCGGGGGCCGCGGGGTCGGCGGCGTTGGACACCCAGGGTGGCAGGAAGCCCTCCACGATCTGCGCCACATTGTCTGCCGCAAACCGTGCCGCTCGCGGCCCGTTGTGGCCATCAAACACGGCAAACAGGCAATAGCTGGGCCTGCGGAGGCAAACACTAGGTGGTGGTCATGAGCAGGTAACGAGTGGAATAGGGTAGCGGCGGAGCAGAAGAGGTCCAGTCTGTCAAACAAGGACAAAGGCAGCCATTGGCTTGCTTACTTGTGGTGCTCACGGGGCTGCAGCCAGCAGCATGACGACAACAGCTCCTCAGGGGATCCCGCATCTGCTGCTGCCACGGCTACATTGGGCCACAAACGCTGCACCGCCACCAGACGATCCTGCAGGATGGGCAAGGCAGGCAGCTGGTATCGGGGCACGCAGCCAGGTTAAAGCTGCTGCCGCCCATGGTGCGGCTGGTGGGTCCTGTTGCCTGTCGACCAGCGCAGCCAAACCACACAGCGTTACCCTCAACACTCACCTCCCCTCTCCTGCCGTCCCAAATGCCGTTGCTCCAGGCCGTATGCATGGCGGGGCCTGAAGGTCGGTGGGCCGCCAGCTTGACTGCTGAAAAAGATGTGTGCGTCTATCGTCGGTGCAAAGACTCCTCGAAGATAAAGAATTGATGAGAAATAGCCTGCCACGAGGTGGCGGCGCGAGGTTTGCAGGACTAGTCCGGACTGCCCTCCAGCTGGCAAACGTGGGACGCGCCACGCGTCCTACACTACTGCGTCCTTTATTACCTCCCCCTGTCCTAGCATCTATCTGCGAGGCCAATTGAAGCCAGAAGCAGACGCGAGGGCCGTTGCGCTCTCCCTGCGGTGCGATGCAACGTTTACGGCCTGCCAGGGCAACCCTTGAGCTACAGCCAGCGAGAGGGTAAAGGATAGATTGCAGCGTTGATGAGACCAGACCCATAAGGCATTGAATGCAAATGCAACAGAGCTGCACATGTGTGGTCTCACGCCACAATGTCACCTACCGCCTGCGCCTTGGCCGCCTGCTCAGCGGGAGCTGCACCATACAGCGTGCTGCGCTGGCGCGGCACCCGCCCCGCGCCCCGGATCAGCTCCTCCATGCGGGAGGCGCACAGCTCCTGGCCGTGCGCTGCCCCCGCGGCTCGGGTGATGGACTCATTCATCAGCACCCCGCCCAAATCGTTGCAGCCGGCGCCCAGCAGCTCGGCGGCACGGCCCGGGCCCATCTTGACCCAGCTGGCCTGGATGTTGGTCACGTGAGGGTGCAGCGCCAGACGTGCCACGGCATGCATCAGGAAGCACTCCCGCAGCGTGGGGCCTCGCCGACATGCTGAGCCTGAAAAGCGGGCAGGGGGGAGGGGCAGGAGGAAGACCAAGGCTCAGCAAAGGCCTCGAGGAGAGGGAAAGAGAGGCAAGGAGCAGGGATGGGGTGCAGCGAGCTGGCCGCCACGAGGCTGCACATGCGTGCTCACTCACCCTTCAGGTACAGGGGGGCCTCCATGTGCACAAACGGCAGCGGGACAAACTCAGAGATGCCGGCAGTGCGCTTCTGCAGCCATGGAGGTACATCAAGCACAGCACCGCATTAGCCTACAGTATTCGCCATTTGTAGGCAGCACAGCGTTCACAACCGCAGGCAAGCAGGTGGTGCAGCCCGGCATGCCTGCAGGTCGCGCAGCGCCAGAAGGTGCCGTGCCCAGTGGGCGGGCGAGTCGCAGTGGCCAAACATGATGGTTGAGGTGGTGCGCAGGCCGACTGCGGCACGGCAGGCAGCCGGGGTGTCAGGAGAGGATCCAGGCCATGCTGTACTGTATACAAACTGGTGCCTGCTTGTTAACATCCGCTGGCCCAGTAGCACGTCTCTCACCGCTGTGTGCCGCCTCCACCACCTCCAGCCACTCCTCACTGCTGAGCTTGTCGGGGCACAGCACGGCTCGCACAGAATCGTCCAGCACCTCGGCCGCAGTGCCCGGCAGGCTGCCCAGCCCTGTTGGGAAGCAGGTGGTCACCAGAGACCACACAGTCTCAGCGGACGGGGGCCCTGCAGGCACGCACCATGCGCAATACCCAGGAATGCAAGGTGCTGGCACCCGCCTGCATCCCGCAGCGCCGTGAGGAACTTGTGCAAGCTCCACCCCAATGTTGACGCGCCCTGCTTCACTTCCAGCGGGCTGCAGGCTCAGACATAGTGCAGCCAAGGGTGGGAAGGCGGGCCTGGTCCCCATTCCTGGCCTTCTGCATCCGCGCTCGCACTGTTCCCGCCACAACTGACCAAGATGCTAAACAAGCTGTTGCCAGGCAGGCGCAGGGCACAGCACAGGCACATGCTCTGCCCGGCGCACCTGAAAGCGTGCACGTGGATGTCTGGTGCCGCGCCCTTGGCTGCCCCCAGCAGGCGCAAATATGTGTCGCCGGTGAAGTCAGGATGGATCCCGCCCTGCGGATGGCATGGGAGGGAGCTCAGGGGGGAGTGCACACCGCTGCAGCCACCAGCTGCAGGCAGCGCAGCCCCGCTCCATGCGGCCTTGCTCTCCCGTGTCCAGACAATGCAGCAGGGTACTGCGAGGGGCCTGCACCAGCACCTGCATGCAGACCTCCGTGGCCCCGCGGTCCCAGGCCTGCGTGGTGCGCAGCGCCACCTCCTCTAACGACAGCAGGTATGGCGCCCCGCGCAGCTCCTCGGCTGCCTTGCCCTTGCTGCACCAGAAAAAGGCGGAGGATGGCAGCAAGGTGAGCGCGGGGCGGGCACAAGTCCTCCATGCTGACGCTGCTGGGGTGGGCATTTCTCATGGCAGGGTGCAAACTCCAGTTTCCTAGTATTCCTATCCCACCTGAATGCGCAGAAGGCACAGGCATAGGTGCACACATTTGTGTAGTTTATGTTCCTGTTAACGACGTATGTCACTGCGGTGTTAGGGGCAAAAACAAGCGATTGCGGCGGGTGTTGCTTTAGCACGGCAAGTCAGCTGGTGCAAAAAGGGGAACACGCACACCTGACCATGCGCAGCTTCCGGCGCCCACCTGTGTCGCCGCACACCCTGCGCCTCAGCTCGTCAGCAGCGCCACACACCGCATCATAGTCGGCGCCCCTGGCTGCAGCGCAAATGCAGCGCGCGGCCACAGCAGACCTGCCAATTAGTCAGTTGATAACCAGCGACATGCATGCCGTGTACGGCAGGCATGATGTGCGCTTGCCTGTGAACAACAACTCAATCTCGCCCTCGCCGAGCTCCTGCTGATGCTCCAGCACGCCGGACAGCACCCGTTGCACCTCTGCTGAGGCTTGCTTCGGCCCCTGGCATCCCTCCAGCAAGCCGTCGGCTGCCAAGCCAACCCGCCAGCTGCGGGCGGCGCTGGGGCGTTGCGCCGCAGGCATGCTGCTCTTCAGGGGCTGCTGCTGGCCGGCCGGGTTGGTCACCCCAGGCTTTTCTCGACTGTTTGAGGGTGCTGCCGCGGTCTGCTGTTCCCTGCCAATGTGCATGAGTGTCTTGCTGCCAGGAGGAGGAGCCTCCTCCAGAGCGCCCGCAAACCAGCTGCTGCCCCGAGCCAGCCCTTCCGAATCCGCCAGCCGCAGCGCCGCCGCCAGCGGGCTGTCCCTTCCGGCGGCAGCATCCAGCCAGCTGCGCTGCTGCTGCTGCCGCTGGGCAGGTGGATGGGGACCAAGCGGCCGTGGGCTGGCAGGCAGGAGCTGCTGGTGCACCAGGAAGGGTGGGTACACGGCCAGGCGCGGCATCAACGCCTTGCCGGCGGCAGCGGTAACCGCTGCCAGGCGCTGCAGGTGGGGCCACGGCTTCTCTGGGTTGACAAAGTCACGGGTGACTGGCGAGATGCCTGCAGGCGGTTGGAGCACCCCCCAACCCGCTCACCACAGCGCAGGGCGGGAAAGAGAGGCGGCGCACCTGCTTCTGGAGCGCACCAAAACAAACAAGCTGAGTGACCGTCCGCGCACCTCCCCAATCGTTGATGCCCGCATCAAGCAGCAGCCGCCAGCCGGCGGCGGGGTCGGGCAGGGCGCCGCCGCCAGGGGAGGCAGCATCGTCTGGCTCTGGCGTGAGGTTGGGCGGCGCCTGGATGCTGATCTGCACGCAGGGCAGCAGCTTGGGGCGCGTGGCTGTGGGCAAAGGAATTGCAGCATCCTCATCCGTCAAGGACGCATTCCCCATTCATCCGTGGTCAGCAGCAAGGACGTAAGTAGAGGCTGGGAGGCTGCTGTGCTGCACACCAGCGCACACCTGCGGCCCCAGCAGCAGGCGCGCCAGCGCCACCGTCCACAGCAGGTCGCTGAGCGGGGGCTCTGGGGTAGCCGCCATCGCGGTGCCCTGCTTGGCCCGGAAGTTTTGGATGATCAACTCCTGCAGGGTGAGGGGGTGTGCAAGGGAGCAGGGGGCAGGCCAAGCCACTCGGGTGCGCAGGGCCGCTGGGTGGACAGCGAGGGCAGGCTGCGGGTGCGTCGGCAGGCTCCCACCTGGATGTGGCCATACCGCTGGTGCAGGCGGCGGATGTGCAGGAGGGACTCGATGCGATCCAGCCTGCTCTCCCCGATGCCTGCAAGGCAGGCAGCAGGGAGTGGCCATCGGCGCCTTGCCCCTCGCCTCCCCAACCCGGCGGTTGGGGGTTCCCATTGGACAAGCGGCCACGCACCGATGAGGATGCCAGTCGTAAAGGGGACCTCCTCCTGGCCAGCTGCCTCCAGCGTGGCCAGCCGAGCAGCCGGCTCCTGCACACACAATGCACAGAGTTTGTCGGTGCAACTCAATGCAATTCCACGCGCACCGGGAGGGTGCAGGCTGCTTCGACCCCCATGCATGCAAACATTCGGCCTGGCGCCCCACCTTGTCTGGACAGCCATGGTGCGCGCCGCCTGGCTGCAGCAGCGCCACAGACGTGGACTCCAGCATCAGGCCCTGGCTGGCGCTGACAGCCTTGAGCCGGCGCAGCGCGCCCGCATCCATCACGCCCGCATTGATGTGCGGCAGCAGGCCCGTCTCACGCATCGCCGCGGCCGCCGCAGCGGCCACGTAGTCCAAGGTGGTGGCGAAGCCTATGCTGGCCAGTTCGGCTGCAGCCTCCGGGTACACCAGCTCCGGCTTGTCGCCTGCACGGCACACACAACGAAGTGGGTCGGTGGAAGCTAAGCAGGATTTCCATGAAGATGCCACCCCCTTTCATTTGCTGGTACTGCTCCCTCGCACCGCTCACCCAGAGTGAAGAGCGCCTCGGTGCAGCCCTGCTGCGCGCCCAGGCGTGCCACCGCGAGCACCTCCTCAAGAGTCATGAAAGCGCGCCGCCCGGCTGCTGGGGGCGCGGCAAATGTGCAATAGGCGCACGAGTCGCGGCACAGGCGGGTTAGGGGGATGAAGACCTTGGGGGAGAAGGTGATGTGGCGGTGGGCTGCATCCCGCAGGTCTGCCGCTGCCCGCATCATCGCTTCCAGCGGCACCGCCTCTGCCGCATCCAGCAGCTCCAGCGCGGTCGACTGCTCGCTCTGCAAGACCTCCAGCCAGCGGTCGCTGTGCCTGGGGGGCGCTGCTGTAGCCAGCAGGAGTGGCTGGTCCCGACGGTGGCAGGTGGCAGCGGGTGCCTGCTGCTGCCAGCCGCCCACTTCTCTCCTCTGTGCCTGGGCGGTGGTGGTCGGCGGCAGGCACCCGCTGCCACCGCCCACTCCTCTCCTCCGTGCCTCGCGGATCGCGGCGTGGCTGGGCCGCTTTCCATTGGAAGGTCCCCCACCGCACGAGACGCTCCGCCCGCTCGCACAGCCGAAAGCTGCACTCGCCTCCATATCGCTTGTGGCTTTACCCACCCTCCCAGTCCATCAGATCGATCAATACATGGAGCCAGCCGGGGATGAGGGGATCTGTGAATGGCGCAATCGACTGACACCGTGGCCCCCTCGCAGCGCACGCGTCGCGCCGCACCCTGCACGCCGCCACCTCAAGCTTTCCGGCCAAAGCTCTTTACATGTGCGACCTATCTACCCAGGCATGCATTCAAACTGCGCATCCTGATCAACAACCCAGCCAAATCATCGATCTTGGCAGCTTCAGCTCTTCTTTGCGGCGTAGGGGATGTGCACCTGCAGACAGGCGGGCGGCCACGCGCACATGTCGCATACAGCTGGGGGATTCTCAACGCCCACGCAGACATTGCTGCCCTCGCTGCTTGCCTCATTGTGACGGCGCAGGAGCTTCTGCACGGGGTCGTACCTGCACGGGGCACAGGCGCAGGCGGAGCGGCGCACAACATTGAGCCAATTCTGCCCAAGAGGGTGGGTCCTGGTTGCTTCCGGGCGGATCCTGCTTGCTTCCAAGCCCAGCCAACCCTGACGATGTGCCACCACTCACACGGCGGCCCACACCACGTCGTCAGCAAAGTCGCGCTCCTCGTCCTGCAGCATGTTCTGCAGCGAGCGGGTCTGTTCCAGGATGGTGCCTGCGGGACAGGCCAGGGAGGGTGGGAGGGTGAGGGCTCTTGGGGCAGGCAGGCAGGCAGGTGGGGCGCGCATGCCGATGCCCTAGCCTGCAATGCGTGCAGATCAGGCGGGGCGCACCCTCGGTGGCAAAGCCGCCAAACACGCGGACGTAGACAGTGATCGACTCATAGGCCACAATCTGCAAACATTGTGGGCAGGATTGGCTGGGCTAGCAAGTTACCCTGCGCGACAAACGGCAACCTGGGGAGAGCACCTGGCAGCAGCAGCGCGGCGCACAACCCCATCACCCCGCACCTTGACGTCGCTGTCCGTGGGCTGCGGCGTGTCCTCCTGCAGGGCAGTGGAGGGGCAGTGCGCTGTGATCAGCTCCCTTCAAGGCAGTGTGCCAGTTGCAGCCACCGACCATGTGCCCGCAGTTGCCAGCTTCCCAACGCAAGCGTGGCAGGCAGGTGGGGCGGGGCCTGCGGCGTGTGCGCGCCTGGAACTCCTCTGGGATCCACAGCGAGAAGCTGTAGTCCTGGCCCGCAGACTTGCCCTCCTTGTCCAGCTTCAGCTCGCTGCTTGGGGCGCAGGTGGAGGTGGTGGTGGTCGAGGGGAGGGGCGGTTGCATGCATGCTCAGCGGGGAGGCACCTGTGGCCAGCAGGCATGGGGACCACGACGATGCTGGCGGCATGCACAGCGCAGCACTCACGCCAGCGTGGGAGTGGTGACGTCGATGGTCTCCTCCTGCAGATGAAAGGGTGGGCAGGTGTTCAAGCGCTGCTGGGGGGAGATGACAGGGGAGCTGCGACCTCCTCACACCCGCCTGCCCAATACCTTGTCGTTCCCGGACTTGAAGTACTTGAGCAGCTTCTGCGCGCAGGTCGGGGCAGCAGGGGCAGGCAGATGAAGGGGGAGTGGGTGTGGCGGCATCAGGTGCCTGTTGCAACTGCTGCTGCTGCCGCCCCATCACAAAGAGCTCACCGACACCGCCTGCGTGTACGCCAGCTCAAACTTGGAGCCGGTTGTGTTTGTCACAACCCACTTGCCTGCAAGAGCGAGGTGGGCAACGTGTGGCAGGCAGCAAGGCAATCAGGGCGCATGCGCAGCTGAGTGTGGCAGCCAGGCAGCCGCGTGTGGCATCCACAATGCAACCTGCGGCAGCTCACCCGCGTCATACTTGCGCACATCATAGTTGTCGGTGTGCTTCTTGGTGCGGAAGGGCGGGCAGTCCATTTTGCTGCAGGATGGACAGGGAAGAGCAAGGCACTTGTGGCGCCCGTGCCGGCGCGGCGAGAGCCCCGCGGTCGAGGCGGCTCTTTCGCGAGGGCCCTGCACTCACCCGCAGAACTCGGGCCTCTTCCATCGCTCCAGCCCCTGGGAGTGCTGGCTCAGCTCCTCCACGACTGCGGTGGGGTCCAGCAGGTCCAAGGCCCGGGCGCTGGCCAGGCAGGCCGCCAGCAGCAGGAGGCAGGCAGGGAGGGAGCGCATGGTGGCGGCACAGAGCAGAGTCAGAGAGGGAAGAGGGAGCCTCGAACAGACTTCTACGTGACCAGCATGCAGTCCAAGGTGACAGGGCCAGCTTCCACAGCATAAGGCTCGCTGTGGGCTAGCAAAGAGCGTTTCTTTGCTTCCCCTTGCGCCTCCCTGGATCAACCAGTGGCGGCCGGGTGCCTCCTCCCCTTCTTGGCGACTGTGATGGTAGCGGCGGCGGCGGAGCGGCGGCGAGCATGGGCGGCAGGCGGCCACTGAACGAGCAATGAGTTACAGCCAATTTGATCATTAGTTTAGGCCAGGACTCACTCAAAAGGGCTGCACAGTTGCATCAAGTTGCTGAAAAGCGGGCCGGGCATCCTCGAGCTTTCAGCGGCGCGACGCGCGGCGCCCGCCTGCGTGGCGCCGCTGCCAGCCCTCTTTCTCTCAGAGCCGCAATGCAACTCTCTCCTTAGCGTGCTTGAACGTTGCGTTTCATTCTTGTTGCTTCGTGCTAGCTCAAAATTGCTTGGAACATATTTCGAACCACGCCGCGTGGCGGCCACTGATCAGCCTGGGGTCACATCAGCAGGATCATCGCTAGGGCACTTGCCACGCCCACCCCCACGGGCAGCTCGCCATGGAGCCGCCATCGATGAGGCACGCCCTGGCAGTGGCCCACCTGCTCCAACAGCGGTGCAGTGCGGCTGTGGCACAAGTGCAGCACAAGTGTAGCGAGCTGGAGCGGGAGGTGGAGCAGCTGCGGCGCGCGGCCGAGGCACCGCCCACCCAGCAGCCGCCACAGCCCCCTCTGCTCCAGCTGGTGGCCGGGGAGGAGGCGGCGCCGCTTGCAGCGGGGCCTCCTGCAGGCGCCGACCCGGAGGCCCTGCCGCGCCAGCTGCAGTCGCTTGCCATGTGGCACCAGGCAGCGGCGGCACTTCCGCCAGACGTGCGGCCGACGCTGGCCCGCGCGCAGCGCTACCTGCTGATGTGCGAGCTGCAGCGGCAGGCGGCGGCAGCCTGCGGCGGCGGCGGGCTGCCTGCGGGTGCTGTGCTGGAGCGCACGCCGATGGTGGCGGTGCTGGAGATGGCTGCAGACATCCTGCACACCCACGCCGCCGCGGCGGAGCAGCCGCCCGCGGGAGCGGCAGCGCACTGTCAGCTGAGCGCGGCCCATGGCCAGCTGCTGTCAGCAGCCTGCACCTGCCTGGTGCACCTGTGCGAGGGGCCGGGGCAGACGGCGCTGGACTCGGACTACGAGGCGCTGCAGCGCTTTTACGGCATGGTGCTGCAGCTGGCCGCGGCGCCGCCGCCTGACCCCTCGCCCGCACTCGCGGTCGACACGCCCGACCAGCAGCAGCAGGCCACCAGCGCTACCGCTGCCATCTCCCAGGCCCTGGCTGCAGGCCCAGAGGCGCAAGGCGAGGCGGCAGCGGCAGGGCTGGACCTGGGGCAGCCCACGTGCCAGGTGGCGCAGCACGTGCTGGGCGTGCTGCGCCAGTCGGCCAGCGCCGGCACCGTGCTGCTGTCCTGCACTGCGCCCCAGACCCGGGACTGCATGGCGGCGCTGGTGGCCGCCATCACTGGGGAGCAGCTGCTGATGCACTGCGGCCCCAGCGGCGGCGGCGGCGGCGCCGCCTCCAGTGCCCAGCAGCCGGACGCGCCGCCGGATGCGGCGGGGCCGGCGGAGGAGGCGCGCCTGCTGCACGCCTTCACCCAGCTCAGCCAGCAGCTGTCGGCGGGGCTGCGCCTGCTGCCCGGGTGGACGCGCGCCATGGGCCTGCACAACGACGCCTTCATGCAGGCACGTGCGGGGCCCGCGGGTCGGTGCGCGCAGAGGAGGCCTGCGGCGCTTGCGCACCCAGGGGGAGAGCAGCTCGTGGGGAGGAGCCGCGGCGCAGCTGTTGCCAGCGAGCTGTCAGCTGCCACCAGCCCCCCCACGCATCCTCCCTTCTGCCGCCCCCTGCACCGCAGGACATGGCTGCCGCCATCCTGTCTGCCCGCGACGCCAGCGAGCTGATTGCGGTGACGCACCCGGGCGCCGCCCGCCAGATGCAGCGCGTGGCGGCGCAGATGGTGGGCGCGCTGCAGGCCATCGCGGCGGAGGCCGGCACCGCCACGCACCACCACCACGGGGCGTGAGCCGCCGCGGGCAGCTGGCCGGCCAGAAGCCAGCAGGCTGTGGGGTGTAACCTGTGTGCTCCCCGTAACGTGTGGACGTCATTACAGGCAGGTGCATTGCAGCAGCGCTGCCTGGGGGGCAGGGGCGAGCGGCGCCCGCACATGCAGTGTGGGGGTCAGAGCGGGGGAGACGGGGGAGCGGGGCAAGGGAGGAGCAAAACAAGCGCACTGAGGAAGCGGGAGGCGGGGAGGGCTGGTCAAGTGAGCGTGAGGGTGAGGCCCTTCTGGATCTGCCCCCACCCAATCAGGCGCCAGTGCTTGTCCACGCGCCGCGACAGCGCAATCTTCTCCCCCTCCTTTGTGCACACCGGGCTGGTGAGCTGCAGCTTGGCCAGGTCGTGCTTTACCTGCGCAGGCGGGCGAAGCGGGTGGGGTGGCGGGCTCAGGTGCACAGCCACACAGGGGAGAGGCAGGAGCCTGTGCTGCCGGGGGGGTGCAGGCTTGGCAGGGCGGGTGCGGGGGCAGGCAGGCGGGGTGCGGGGCGCACTCACCGCCACCACGCGTGCCCCCGTGCACATGGACCCAATGTTGAGCATCAGCACCTCGTTCTTGGCCAGCTTGCTGACCTGCGGCGGGATGGGGGCCGGCAGGCGGGCAGGAGGTGGGAGCGCTGGGCAAGCACGCCAGCCAGCCACAGCACGTGACGGGCGGCCCCGCCAGGCCGCTCCGCTCTGCGCGCAGCCGCCCCACGCGGCGGCGGCAGCGCGCGCCGCACCTTGCCCTGCTTCTCGTCCCCGCTGGTGCGCACGCCCAGCAGGCGGCGCAGCAGGAAGAAGTTGATCTCCAGCTCGGTGAACACGTCTGGCAGCGCGCCCACCTGCCCCAGCACCTGCCCCACCAGCCTGTCTGCCCGCGTCAGCGTGGGGTCCACCGTGGTGCCCACCCCGATCAGGCCGCCCGGCACCGCAAACTGCAGCGGGTTCTGCTCCGCAAACAGCGTGACGATGCGGGAGCGGATGGGTATGCACTTGATGGCGCCGCTGGCGTCCTTGGTCACCACGCCCGGCCGCACCTCCACCTCCTGCCCCATCTTCAGCACGCCCTGTGCGCAGCAGGCGGGCGGGCGGGCAAGGAGGGGGCACGCACGGAGCGGGCGGCGTCAGCGGGAGGGGTGGAGCGGGGTGTATGGGGAGTGCACTCCTTGGGTGGGCCAGCCAGGGCGGGCAGCAGCCCAGGGTGGCCACGGGGATGGGTGCAGAGGTGTGTGGGTGTGTGTGTGCGTGTGTGTGTGTGTGTGTTGCGGTGTGGATTGAGCTACAGATCATTGGATCATTCACCGAGCCCACTTGCACCGCCGTCTGCTGTGCCACAGCGTGACGAGAGGCCAGCTCATGCCGTTTGTCGATGGCCTCTGCTTTTTGCGTGGCGGGTGGCACGCACCGGTGCGGTGCGTGCGGGATGCAGGGGAGGCGCACCCCCGGCTGACCCCCCAGGCCCACCTCCCCGGTCCCTGCCCCACCCGGGGCACCGCCCAGGCGCCCACCTGCAGGATGGAACCTCCCGCAATGCCTCCCTTGATGTCGTCCACCTCGCTGCCGGGGCGGTTGACGTCAAAGGAGCGGATGACAATCATCTGGGGGCAGGGGAAGGGGGCGCCGGGGGTGCACGTGGATAGGCCGCAGCAGGCACCTCCCCACGCAACAAGCACTGCACTGCCCCCGCGCGACTCCCCGCGGCCGAGCCGCTGCCCCACCCCACCCGCTGCTCCCTCCGCCCCGCACCTGCGGCGGCGACACAAAGTCGCGCACAGGCACCGGGATCTTCTTCACCAGGTACTCGCACACCGCGTCCACGTTGTACTTGAGCTGCGCGGAGATGGGCACCACGGGGGCGGCCTCGGCGATGGTTCCCTGGATGAAGCGCTGGATGGTCTCGTTCTGGTTGAGCGCGCTGGCCTCGGTCACCAGGTCCACCTTGTTCTGCGGCGCGGCGGGGCGGGCGGGGGCGGGTGGGTGGCCTGGGCGGCCCTGAGGAGCACTGGCAGCGCGCCGGCCCCCTTGGCCCTCCATATCCCCGCCTCCCCCACCCCCCACCCTCTCTCGCTCCACCCCCCTGCCCGCCCACCTGCAGGATGATGATGTGCTGCAACCGCATGATCTCCACCGCCGCAAGGTGCTCGCTGGTCTGCGGCTGCGGGCAGGGCTCGTTGGCGGCGATGAGCAGCATGGCGCCGTCCATGACCGCCGCGCCGTTGAGCATGGTGGCCATGAGGATGTCGTGGCCGGGGCAGTCCACAAAGCTGACGTGGCGCACCAGCTCCATCTCCGCATCCTCAAACCCTGCCGGTGGGGGGCGCGCCAGGCGGCAGCGTTGGCATGTGCACCAGGCTGTGCCCCCACTGCCATGAAACGAGCGTGACCCGCTCCCCTGCAGCTCACCAGGCTGCTGTGGCTTGCGGCCAGTCCCCCGCGCTCCCTCCCCAGCCCAGCCACCCCGGCGCACCTGGCACGTCACACTTGGGGCTGTCCTCCTTGCTGCTGCCGTAGGCCTTGTAGCAGGCTGGGCGCGGGCAGCGCGGGTCTGCGCACTTGTAGATCTTTGCGTTGGCGTAGCCCAGCTTGATGGTGATGTTGCGCTCCAGCTCATTCTTGAAGCGCACCGTCTGCACGCCCGAGATGGCCTTGACGACCGTCGACTTGCCGTGCGCCACGTGGCCAATCGTGCCTGCAGCGGCGCGGCAGCGGCAGCAGGGCCTCTGGTCGCAGCAGGATTGCTGCCCACACAAGCGTGGATGCTGCACCAATGGCGTGCCCAGGTGGGCAGGCAGGGCAAGTCCGGCAGAGCAGGCGGCCCTGCCGCCGTCGCCGCCGCCCTGCAAAGTGGCGCATGCAGCTGCGGGTCTGCCCGGCTGCAATCCATCCGGCACTGCCCCCAAACAATGTGGGCTGCCGCAGGGGCGTCTGGGCCGCTGCCGCACCAATGTTGATGGTGGCCTGGCGAGAGATGACCTCTGGCGACAGCGGCGTCAATTTGGCGACATCCAAGGTGCTCAGGTCCTGCATCAGCAATGCGGGGCGAGGTGAGCGGCGATCCCAGCTCCCAGCAGCAAGGGCGGCAGCACATGCCTGCTCCCTGAGCCCTTTTCCTTTGGTAGCCATGACGGCTGCGGCTTGGCTGCGCTCGCTAGAACCCCGTAAAGCTGCGAGCTGAAGGTAATGTGGGGTGATGAGCGGGGGTGCGATGACGAGCGCCGGCTGCTCCAGCGGCAAACGGAGTGAGGGACACGCTATAAGTGAGGCACAGACCAAACATGCTGCGTCCGGCCGATGACCCAGGCGGCGCGGTACATGGTGCGTACCTCCTTCGGAAGTGGAGCAGCCGAGGGGCCTTGGAGGACTCCCCTTAACGATCCACCATCGACTTTCATTTGGTGATCACCGCTGGGGAGCTTTCCAAGACACAGCAGCCATGTGGCGGCGAATGGCTTGGGCCCTGGCCCTGCTGTTTGCTTGCCCAGTGCTGGGCGCAGTGGGTGCCGAGGTGCGTGTTCACGTGCATTGCAGCGCCCAAAGGCGCCGATGGGATCCGGGCCAGCCATGGCTGCCTCCTGGTATTCCGCCCGCAGACTGGTGCCCCAGTGCCCGCCATGACGGAGTGGGCCATGGACATTGCGCGCATGATGGGCAGCTCCCCCGCGGGCGCCGCAATGAGCCCCAATGGCATTATCATGACCGCCCGCCCCACCGGCGGCCCCGCCTCCGGCATCGTCGTCACCGACCCCAATTCCTTCAACCCCTCCCTTAACTCCTACGTGTGGACCGGACCCCGGGTCGCCAGCAGGAACACAGAGTCACTGCTGCAGAAGCACCCCGGCCTCGCCCTGGCATGGAGTGCGTAAATAACGCAATGTGCCGTTGAGGCGGGCTTGGTGCCGGGCTGCGCGTTGCGGAAGCAGACCTGCTTGCCCGTCTTGGAGGACAGCTGATGGCTCATTGCCGCCACTGCTACAGAAACCGCTGCCTTCTTCAAGCTCGTCAAGTTCATCAAGCAGCACCCGGGCCCTGGCCCAGCTCCGGCCCCGGCCCCTGGCCCAGCCCCGGGCCCGGCCCCTGTGCCCGAGTTCTTTGTTCAGGCAGGGCTACAGCCGCCCCCAGCATGTGCACATGCATGGCACCACCCCGCCCCGCACCCCGCGCTTCGTACGCCCCCCGTCTGCTTGCTCAGTCCTGGCCCACCATTTCCACCACTTTGCCTGGAAGACAGCACAGCTTGGCATGGGCTTGCCTGCAGCCTGCATGCTGGCCTCTTAACCATGCTAGCCCCGGTTCTCTCGCAGGTTGCCAACGGGCAGTTCATCACGGGCACCGGGAGCGGCACCTGCAAGTACCTGTACCCAGCTGGATTCAACAAGTGAGTGCCTGGCTTCTGGTGAAGGCGGCCTGCTGCTGTGTGCCAGGCCGGGCAAAAACAACTCAGTGCAGCTCTTGCCCAGACCTGCCGCGTGTTTCACCCCTGTTGCCCCTGAGCTGACCATTTGCTCCTGCCGCTCCCCAGGTTTGAGTTTGTGGAGGCGGGAGCGGGCGCCCCCAGGCTATTTGACGCCCAGCTCACCGACACCTCCCTCACCGGCCCTGCCTCGGTCAGGGCCATGCTGGACCAGGCCCAGGCCGCGGGTCTCACCCTGCTCCGCATGAACGCCTTTGCCGTCGACTCGCAGTGAGCCTCGGCGTCAGCCCCGCCATGGAACCCCTCTAACGCGTGCTGCAGGGCTACCCCTGGCCAGAGTGCCACCATCATACGTGGTCCCCTGGAATCACGCCCACCTGTCACTATCGGCTCTGCTCCCTGTTCCACTCCCAACCTGCTCCTTGCCCTGCAGGTACTCGGTGGCTCTGCAGCCCGGCGGCGTGGGCAACGCTGTGCTGTACAACGAGGGGGTGCTCAAGGGCCTGGACTATGTGCTGTCAGAGGCCCAGAAGCGCGGCATCAAGGTCCTGCTGGTGAGCGCTGGGCTGGGCGCATGCAATGGGGTGGGTGCTTTATTCGGGCCCCCTACCTCACCGCTGCCTCACCTGCGTCTCTGCGGCAGGTGCTGACCGATTACTTTGCGGGGACTGGCGGCCCGGAGCAGTACCTGGCGTGAGTGCAGGCCTGCTCTGCCATGTTGCATAGGCAGACACCTGGGCAAGGGCCGCAGGAGGCAGGTGCATTTTGACCCCATGTGCCCCCTCCCCTCCACCACTCAACCCACCCCGCCTTCCCGACTCCCCCCACCTTTGCACAGGTTTGCCGGGGTCGATACGTCGTGCGGCGAGAGCCCCCTGCCCAGCTGCGACGATGTCAAGTCGCAGTTCTTTGGGAACCCCACCGCTCAGCAGCTTTACCAGCAGTACGCCTCCACCCTGGCCAACCGCGTCAACACCGTCAACGGCCGCACCTACAAGAACGACCCCACCATCTGGTGAGGGCAGCCGGGGGCATTGCAATGGGGCAGGGCTGACAAGCGTCGCTCCACCTGGTGCCTGCCCTCCCTCCACCAGCTGGCACACACCATGCACGCCATGTTGCCACGCCACCGGGCCGGTCTTCACCTGCTCGGCACGGCCACTCGGCTGCAGGGGCTGGGACCTCATGAACGAACCGCGCTGCACCGCCCAGAGCATCTGCACTGATGATGGGGTGACGACCATTCACGCATGGGTCGCAATGATGAGCACCTACGTCAAGGGCATCGACAGGCAAGTTCCGTGGCACACGTGGCATCCAAAAGGATAGCTGGCCACACCATCAATGCCCGAACACATCTTCAGATTGACACACCCTCCAGACTCCAGGCGCAGCATCACAGCCATAGTGCCGCGCCTCCTGCCTGCCCTGCCTTGCAGCACGCACTTGGTGACCGTGGGGCTTGATGGCTTCTACCTCAACCAGCCGGGTAGGGCACCGCCCCCAGTGGCCAGCAGTTCCCGTAGGACAGGCAGCATGCTGAGCTGGCACGCGTGTACCTGCGTGCAGGCGCCGCAGCCAACCCCTTCACCAACACCTACAACACCGACTGGCTGGACGACACTCAGGCCGCCACCATCGACTTTGGCTCCTTGTGGGTGGCACCGCCTGCGTGGCGGGAGCGGGCAGGGATCTGTGGGGTCCCTCCTCTTGGCAAGCATGGCATGGCATTGCATCCGGCGGGTTCTGTTTTCCCTCGGGCCGCATGCTGCTGTCACTTTTTCAAGCTTACCACCCCGCGCTCCCCTCCTGCCCCCGCTCCTGCCAGCAACGTCTACCCCGACCTCTGGATGGCCTCCATCTCCAACGAGGCCGCCAACACCGCCTGGATCGACGCCTGGATCGACCAGCATGCCGGCGATGCCAAGTCACCGCTGGCCAAGCCCATCATCATCAAGGAGCTGGGGGCACAGGTGGGGAGGGCCCTGTGGCGGGCGGGAAGGCTGGGGAGTGACGCCTTGGGCATAGGACCAGAGAGAGTGACGCACAAGTGGGTCTCCGTGTGCGAAGCACAGCAGACGCCCGAATGATGCAGATTGATGTGCTGCCATGTCACTGGCCCCTCTGCTCCGCCCGCCTGTGCAGCCCACCCCCCAGCGCCTGCAGCTGTACACCACGATGCTGGGCAAGGCGCTCAGCGTCGCGACTGCCGACCGCAACGCAGTGGGCGGCCTCAAGGGTAGGCTGCCAGGGCGGCAGGCTGCCGTAGTGGGGGCCTCGCCCAGGTGCCTGCCGCAGCTGCAAATCGACCAGTGTGCCCTGAGCCACCATGAGAGCGTGGCGCTGGCCTCCCTGAGCCAGCCCTCTGCTGGCACCGGTCCCATGCGCTGCACCTGCAGGCGTGCTGTACTTCCAGGGCTGGGTGGATGGCACCGACGCTGTGTTCTGGACCCTGGCCCAGGGCGGCCGCTTTGGCATCCTGCCAGGCAACCCCGAGTTCCAGCAGATCACGCAGTTTGCCAGCAGCAGCGCCGCGCTGGAGCAGAGTGTGGCATGCCCGGGAGGCAACTCCGTGCTGGGCCCCGAGTATCCACCCACGCCCAGCTGCCCCACTGGGTGAGCCCCTGCATGCGCCACCTAGCCTGATGAAAAATAATCCATGCAGGCATATAGCGCACCAGCAATAGCGCGCATCCACGCACCTGGGCTGTGCCTTATGCAGCTGGGAGGGGCCCAACTGCAATGTGGACGTGGACGAGTGTGTGCGGGGCCTGGACGACTGCTCAGGCAAGCACCAGCCCCCTCCCCATGCATGCGAGGCCAAGCCAGCGCTGCCATGCCGTCATCATGGGTCATGCTGGGCTCCTCCCTGCGCTGTACTGCAGCCAATGCCGCCTGCATCAACACCGCCGGCAGCTTCACCTGCCAGTGCCACATCACGTACTTTGGCAACGGCAACATCTGCATCCCGGAGCTCGTGGCCCAAGCCTCCCTGTCCAGCGCCTTCTTCACCAACAACCAGGGTAAGGAGGGCACCCGCCAGCTCTGCGGCTTTGCCCTCCTTTGCCCAACATGCATTGTGGCTGCTCTCCGTACCGTGGCTTGCTGCAGTCAACGGCTTCCCCGGCAGCCAGAACGTGCCCTACCCAACCACTGCTCCTGGCTGGGTAGCCGACCCCACCGGCCACTTTGGCCCCAACGGGAGCCGGCTGAAGGTCACCCTGTTTCAATGCAAGCTGGCCTGCGAGACCGCGGGCGAGACGGGTGAGCAGTCAAAGATCGCAACCTGTTCCTGGTGCTTGCGCTTTGCCCTGCGACGCCTTCGCCCCTCGAGCGAAGCCTTTGCCCCTCGAGTGGGCAGCTGTCCTTGCCTGCTTGCATGCCAGCCTGAGCTGCCGCCTGCCCTCATGCTGGCGCAGTGTGCACCTCGTTCTTCTATGACGACGTGAGCAAGAGCTGCTTCCTGAAGGCCAACGAGTGCCCCCTGCAGCAGGAGCAGGTAAGCTGCGGCGCTTCCTAAACAGCTGGTGCTCAGGCTAAGCGTGCGTCTGGTGTGTCGCCATGCATGTGCTGCTCACCCTGGTCTCACGCTGAGCTGGTGCCGTGTTGATGTGCCCCTGCAGGCTCCTACCCCCACCACCTGCACGTAGTGAGTGTCTGCCGGGAGCTGCAGTGCTGCGCTGCTGGTGCTGCTCAAGCAGGGTGCCGTGAAGCCAGGGCTGACGCCACCCTGCCTGCTGCCCCGCCCCCTTGTGCAGCCGCACCTTTGCCGAGGGTGTGGCCAACCCTGTGCCCCCCGGCACAGACACCTATGTGTGTGGCCTGGGGGTCACCTACTACCGAGAAGGGGCGGCGCTGCCCGACGGATGCGAGCCACAGACCTGATTGCCACCACCCCTTTGAGGGCGCTTCAAACCAGGAGCTGTACGGTGCCTCACGACAGCTCATGCCCATGCCCATCCAGGCCTCCTCATTCCTTTCCTTTTTTCCCCGAAGATCAGGCCAGCACCAGTATGTACGACCACAACTCCTTGCCTCCTGCACATCGCACCGCTTTGCTGCATTGAGTAACGACACACACTGATCTGTTGCCTGCAAAGCTTTCATTGGCTGCCTGTTACAGGCCCTGCGCCGCATTGATGCGGCAAGTTGACAAATTGGAGTGGAGATTGAGCAGTGAGCAGTGGTTGAGCAGCTCGACAACAGGAGGGGTCCCACTGTGGCAGCGAGACAGAAAAATACACATGCAATTGGAGTGGGAGAGCAGAGAAAAAATGCGTGGTGCGACCGGGCTGCCAAAACATGTATGTAGGTAGGGGGAGGAGAAAAAGAATGCGGATCGCTCACACCTTCTGACGCTTGGAGTCCGGCACGGCGCCGGCCTGCGGCACCGTGGCAGCCTCTGGCACCGAGGGCACCTCGTCGGCCCCGGGCGCGCTGTCAGGCACAACGGCATAGCGGTCGCTGGGGGCCACGCCATACAGCACAACTGCGCCGGCCAAAGGGTGGGCACAACAACGGGGGCTCAGCCTGCAGGCCACCGGGGCTGCTTGCGCCGCAAAGGGCGCACGCGAGGCCTGCCTGCCCCGGGGTGCCTGCAGCCGGCTGCCGCGGCACCAGAAGGGATCCCGCACGCACGCACCTGGCTGCGCCTGCCGCGTGAGCGCATCGGTGTTGATGCCGCCGCGGCTCAGTGCCGCCAGCTCCACTGGCGAGTTGCTGTCCTGCATGCCGCTGTGCCCCAGCTGCAGGCAGCGCCGCGCGGCAGGGCGGGCAAACGCTGTGAGGCGGGCGTGAGGGCGGAGAGGGAGCGGCGGGGGCGGCGACGCGGCCGCGCCCATCACACGAAGCGACTGCACGGCGCAGCAGCGGGCAGCAGCGCGGCAGCGGCCACCGCGCGCCCACCTGCCCGTTCACGTTCCTGCCCCAGGAGAAGAACTTGCCGGTGTGGGTGACCGCCATTGTGTGCTTCCACCCGCTCTTCACCTGCACCACGCGCTCCCCGGCCAGCGCCTCCACCTGCTGCACCCGCACCACGTCCTCGTTGTGGCCCACGCCGCACTGCCCGAACTTGTTCCAGCCGGACGCAAACAGGCGGCCCTGGCTGTCCGCCGCCATCGTGTGCCGCCAGCCACCCGCCACCGTCGCCACCTGCTGCACCGCCTCCACACGCTTTGGCACATAATGGTCCCTGCAAGAGAGGCGGAAGGAGAGGGGCAGGGAGGCAGGGAGGCAGCTCATCGGCAGGTGGCGCAAGCCGGCCGCTGCTTGCCGCCAGGCAGGTGAAGCTGGCGCGCTGCGACGCATGCGAACCAGGGCATACGTGCCGGGCGGGCACCAGGCGGCAGCTGGGCAGCGCATGCAGGCGCTCACTTGCGGTCTCCCTGCATGAGCTGCGCGTAGGCGCCCCAGCCCCACGTGTACATCGCCCCCCCCTCATCCACCGCAATGCTGCATGGCACAACACACGCAGGCGCACAGCAGGGGGCCGGCAATGTGGTGACAGGGGTCCAGGCGGCGGCTGAGGGGCGCATGCGCTGCACCAGCTCCGCCCCTGGGATGCAGCCCCTGGCATGCAGCACCCCGCCCAGTGCCTGCGGCGGCAGCGGAGGCGCGCATGCGGGGCTGGCTGGAGGGCGCACCTGTGCCGCCAGCCGCAGTTGACCTGCGCCACCTTGACCCCCTCCAGCCCCTTGGCCAGCGTGGGCAGGTGGCGGTCCTGGCTCTCGCCGTCGCCGATGTTGCCGTACCGCCCCCACCCCCAGCAGTACACCTCCCCCTCCGACGTCACGCACATCGAGTGCTCCGCACCACAGGCCACCGCCACCACCTCCTTGCCCTGCACGCAGGGCGGGGAGGGCAGGGGTGTGGTGCAGGCAGGCGGAGGCAGTGTCGGTCAGTAGCAGCGCAGGACGACGGCTGCATCATCCTGGCGGTGCTTGCACAGGCCGGCGCCCTGCCGCTACACCTGCCACGGGACCCCAGGGGCACAGCACACGGCCTGGCCGCGTGCCCCTGCTGCCGCCCACCTGCAGCGCGGTGACCAGCTGCGGCTCCAGGCAGTCCTGGATGCTGCCTAGCCCGCACTGCCCGTTCTGGTTGCGCCCAAAGGCAAACAGCTGGCCCTCAGCGGTGGCCACCAGGGTGTGCGTGTCGCCGCACGCCACGCTGGCCACCCGCCTGCCAGCCAGCGCCGGCAGGGGGCAGGGGATGAACACGTCCTTGACGTCCCCCGTGCCCAGCCGCCCAAAGTCGCCCCAGCCCCAGCTGTACACCTGCTTGTCGCCGCCCGCCACCGCCATGGAGTACTCGGCGCCGCAGTGCACGCTGGTGGCGCCGCGGTGCAGCAGGCTGAACACCGCCTGCGGCTCCTGCCGGTCCTCTGCGTCGCCGTGACCCAGCTGGCCGTCCTCGCCCCGGCCCCAGCTCAGCACCATGCTGCCAGAAGGCGTGCCTGCAGCGGCGGGAGGGCAGCGGTGCCCTGGCACAGAGTCAGCACCAGGCAGGCGGGCTGCGGGCGGTAGCGGCCAGCCGGCTCAGCTCCCCGAGACACTGCGGCCCCACTTACTGATCAGCGCCAGGCTGTGAGAGCTCCCACAAGCCAGCCCGATGACCTCGGGCTCTGTGTCCTGCGCCATCGCCTGCAGGGTTGCTGTGCGCAGTGCACCGTTGCCGCTTCCTCAGTCGTGTCGGCTACACGCGCAGAGCCCCACCCCACGCCCGCAAGGCCGTTAGCCAGCCCTCTGCTGCGGGGCGGGTGCTGGCTGCCGAGATAAGGGCCTCCCGGAGGCTTGTTGTTGGCAGCAGCAGGGTTGGATGCAATAAGACAGGCCAATGCGGCACAAGCACGCTGCGGATAAGCGCTGCATTTGTCCCCCCCAACGCCACCTCTGCCGCCCGCCTCGCCAGGGTGGTGTGCAAGATGCTACTGGCACTAGTGACATCAAGGCATCTGAGGTGGTGTTAACAATACAGATATACATGGGGAAACAATAGGGATGCATATGACAGCAAGGTAAATGTCCCACTTGCCACGTGAGGCGGCGGGAGCAGAGCGGGAGGTGAAGCACTGAAGCAGGAAAGCAGGGGACGGCAGAGCAGAGCAAGTAGGGCAGACCAAGATTGCAAGACACAAGAACTGCAGTTCCTATTGGGATGCAGGGAGCCATCAGGAGCATGCTGAGGCGCCAGCACCGCCAGTCGCGACCGATAGGCGCACAAACGCGATCTTCTCACACGCACAAGCGGTAAGTTACGTAGCGCCCTGCACAGGGACGGGGAATGAAGGGTAGCGGTGGTCAGCGGTGGCCGGCAGGGTTGACCTTGTTGCCGCGTCTTGCAACGTGCAGCAGCCCCTGGCAGCTGGACGCACGCGGCCACCGCCTGCCCGCCCACCTGCCGTCTCAGAGGGGCGCACGATGCGCACCACCTGGCCGCGCGTCATGCCAAAGTAGCGGGCCACGGGGTCGCTGAACTGAATGCGCGGCAGCTGGGTGTCCTTGACCTGCGGTGACGGGCATGTGGGGCAAGGCTGGAGGGTGGCAGGCAGCGGGGCATGCCAATGTGGCAGCAGGTGGATCCAGCGCAGCCGAGATGGCGGCACTGGCGTGGTGGGGCAGGCATAGGGTGGGGAGGCGGTGGGCGCTCAGCCTGCTGGCGCCATGGGCTGCGGTTTTGTGGGCGCAGGCCAGCATGCGCAGCTCCCGTTGCGGCCTCCCCGCCCCCCGCCAGCCGCCCCTGCCCCACCCCCGCACCTTGTAGCGGTCCAGCAGCGTCTGCTTCTCCTCGCGCGTCAGGATGCGGTGCTGCGGCACCAGCGTGTGCTTGGTGATGTTCACCAGCAGCTCCGCCTCCTGGAACAGCTCGATGTAGTACTTGGGCGCCATCTCCGACAGGCACTGCTTGGCGAAGGGCGTCATGTTGGCCTGGGTGACCATGACGGCGCGCTGCACGCCCTCGTTGCGCATCCGCTCCGCCAGCAGCTTGATGGTCTTGACCCCCACCTTGGCCTCCTCCGGGAAGAAGACAAAGATCTGCTCGGTGGGGTCGTCCTGCGGGGGGGCGGCGGGGAGGGGGGGCGCGGCGGCGCCGGGGTGAGGCCGGCGCTGCATCGCACCGCGCGAGCAGGACACACGCGCTGGGAGGGGCCGGGCCGGCGATGCAGCCTGCCGAGCGGGGCCGGCGCAAACAGCAGGCGCTTGCCATTTTGGAGGCCATGACGGTCAGGTCCTCCCGCCGGATGTCTGGCCCGTACTTGTCGGTGAACTGATCCCGCGTGGCGTCACGCTCCTCCTGCGCGCACCAACCAGGGCAGCGGGCAGCCGGAGCGGCTTGTGAGCAGGCAAGCTGCCAGCGCCGTCGAGGTGGAGACCTTGCGGCAGCGGCGGGGGAGCTGCCAGCACCTCGGTGATCAAGTAGCCCCTGTCAGCCAGCATTTCCAGGCACGTCTTGCGTATCCGAAACATTCTTTGCGCAAAGTCCTGCACAGAAGGGCAGGCAGCAGGTGAACACAACGGCGGCGGAATGGCACTGGCGGCGGCGGGGACTGCGGAGCGGCCAGTGCCGCATGTGCCGAGTGCCCCACGCCATCACCACCTCGGCAGCGCCTACATGCAGCCCAGCAAGCCAAATGGCAGCAGAGCAGCCGGGAAGCAAGAGCAAGTGATGGGGTGCAAGCGTGGTGCCGGCAGTGCACGGGCCGCAGCCATCCCGCACCATTTTGCTAGCTTGTTAGCCCTGCCGCCAGAACTGCGTAGCCGCCCGGAGGCACGAGCGATGTGTGCGGGGCGGCAAGCTCGGGTTGCTGGGGGCCTCCAGGGGACAGTCAGCCAGTCAAGACACTGGAAACGCAATGGCGAGGGGACCTTCATTTCCTTGCATGGAGCCTGCTGCGCCTCAGTCGCAGCAGGGGGCTGACCACACCAATTGCCGCCGAAACACTGCCGAAACAGCATCCCAAAGGCCACGATTCATCACAGCGCGATGTCAGCGTCGCTCCTGCTGGACGCCATTCGGAGAGGGGAACCAGAGGTCAGCAAGGATAGACATGCCTGCCTGTTTGGGACCAGGGCGCAGCAATATCACACCCTTGCTGCTGCAGGCGGAACTGCTGTTTCGGCTGGACGGCGGGGGATGGGATGGGGAGGGGTCGGCAGCGGCAGCAGACCACGTCACGCCGGCGCTCTGGTGCGGTTTGCACTGTTCCTGCGACATGCGAATGCTGGTTGTTGGTCTATGATGCTGCGCTCTCAGGACCTACTGTATATGCCTTAATTTTGTTGCTCCACCCCTCCCCACAGCCCCCTTCGAAACATGCCTCCCCATTGTCTCTGCATACCGCAGTGTTGCTGCCGCACAGGCTGGGTATGGGCACTTGCTGGAGCGGCTGGCCGACAGACTGGAACCTGAGCATGGTGACAGCGCTGCAAGCACTGGACCAGTAGATAGCCCGCTGCATTGGGCCGCCTTCAAAGGCCTGGCGGGGGCGGTGGAGGTCCTGGCGCGCAGGGCCGCCGCTGCCGGCGGAATCGAGTGGGTCAACTTCAGGGGCCAGCTGGACAGTACGCCCCTGCACCTGGCAGCCATCAGCGGCAGCCTGGAGGCCGTCAAGGCCTTGATATACCACGGCGGTGATGCAAGCCTGCACCTGCGCAATGCATATGGCAACATACCCGCAAGCCTGGCCAGCACCGCCACCTGCCGCCAGCTACTCGTGAGCCTGGCAGAGGGCGGGCAGCCTGCTGTGCAGCAGCTGCGTGCCGACATGGATGCGGCCGCTGCGGCGGCGCAGGCTCAGAGAGAGAGGGAGCAGCAGCAGCAAGAGGAGCGGCGGCGGTTGGAGGAGGAGGAGGAGCAGCGGCAGCAAGAGGCGGAGGAGGCTGCTAGGCTGGCGGCAGAGGAGGCGGAGGCCATGCGGATTGCACAGGAGGAGCAGGAGAGGCGGCAGGCAGAGGAGGCGGCAGCGGTAGAGCAGGAGCGCTTGGCAGCAGAGGCGGCTGCTGCTGCAGCGGCTGCACAGACTGCTAAGAAGAAGGGCAAGTCGGGCAGCCCCACCAAAAAGCTGGGCAGCCAGGGCAGCAGGCCAACCAGCAAGGCCAGATCGGCGGCAAAGACAGCCGCCGTCAGTGCTCCCAAGCCGGGCACATCTGGGCAGCGACAAATAGGCTCGCCAACAAGCGCCAGTCGTGCGGGCAGCGCACTGTCCACGGCGCCGGCTGCATCAGCTCCCACCAAGCCCAGCAGCAGGGCTGCCTCCCGCCCTGCCACTAGTGCCGCAGTGAAGGCTGTGGCAGCAGCAGGCTCTTAATGGATAGGTGCAGCCAAACACCTTGGCATTGCTTAGTCAAACGGCGATGTAAAACAGATGGGAATGGGAAACAGGGTATGGGGAGGAATCAAACAAAAGAAGAGCAGCGCTGAACAGAAATGAAAGGAGTTGCTCAAGGTGCAATGTGTGGCACCTTGAGTGGGTAGAGTACAAGATTGGGAGTGCAGCTCCCGTCTATACGGAGGTGTCGACGTCATGTGGGCTGCTGTCAGCAGCAGCCACCTGCTCCCAGCCCCGCGTCTGGCGCCAGCCACGCCGCGCGTGTCGTGCAAGCGCACCCGCCGCCAGGCCGGTGAAAACACAAGCCGCCGCCACCGTCAGCGTCACCCCTGCTACCACGAAGAAGCTGCGGGCTTCCCGAAGCCGAAGGCAGAACTCGGGGCCGAGGTGCGTGTCGCAGCTGCTCTCATCCAGGGCGCACACCTGCTGGCGGAAGGGGCGGGGCGCGTTCACGTCTGCCTGCTCCCGCCGTGACCCGTCCTCCTGCCGAATCCAGGTGGGGCTGTGTGCTGTGTCCTGCCCCAGCCGCAGCTCGATGACGCGAGCGCCGTGCAGCAGGCCGCCCGTAGGGCCGTAAGACCCATACCTGCGGAATGCAAATGGGTCGTGGCTGGGGTGTCAGCAAGCAAGCAAACGGGATCAAGTCAATCAGGCTTGCACCCCTTGAAACCACACTTTGCCCCGCCACTCACCCGGTCTTGCGCCCATAAGCCAGCCGGATGCCATCCAGGCTGGCCGCAAAGTCGTTGTTGTGGTCATGGCCCGAGTAGATGGCATGAATGCCCATCTCCCTGCAGCAGCGCAGCCCAGCAGCAGAGCAGTTAGGAAGCCATGCATGTGGATGCCAGAGTTGACAGGTGATCTGCCCACACTTTACCTGGCCAGCTCGAAAAAGCCAGAGTCCATGCCTGGGCATCCCACCAGCTCGCCCTTGGTGCCGTTGGCCGAGCTGCCGCCGTTCCAGGCCTGGAGGACAGCAGACTGCCAGGCTCAGGCTGCACCGTGTTTGTAAGGGCGTGGCGTGCCTGGTGGGCAGGGGTGAGCTGGCATGCAGGCGCACATCGCCCACGCACCTGGAACATCTGGGGGATGGGGACGTGGATGAAGGCCAGGCTGGGCACGCGTGGCAGCTGCTCCGCCTCTCGCCGCACCCACGCCACCGTGTCGGCGCCCACGCAGCCCCTGCACTTGCAGCGGCAGTAGTGATGGCAAGCCTGGCACACAACAACTCATTGCCCCTGGGGGCCCACCCGCATAGATGTGCACAGCACGGCAGCAGACAAGCGCCCCGCAGGCAGACACCACCGGCCAGCTCTCACCAGCCCCACGCCAGCCGCCCGCAGCCACGGTTGCCGCTGTCCAGCATCCAGATGCGGGCCGCCACCTGCTGCCCCTGGGCATCACACACATCCAGGTAGTAGTTGCCCGCGCCGGTGAGGTGCGAGGGGCCCGGCTGGGTCAGCGACAGGCCGCCGCCAGCGGCGCCACCCAACTCCACAACCTGGCGCCGGCTCAGGTCTGCCTCGCCGTCGTGGTTGCCCAGGATGGCGGCATAGCGGACCCCCGCCTTGTGGAGCGGCGCCACGATGCGGCGCCACTGCTGCTCGTACCAGCTGGCGCCAGAGAACAGCAGGCGTGACAGGTGGCCCAGCAGGTTGGCTGCGGGGTAGGCAAAACCAGACACCTGGTCGCCGCTCATCACAACCAGCGCCGGCTGCTCCGCCTCGAGAACGGTTTGCACCACCTGCGGCGGCGGCGGCGGCAAGCGAGCGGGTGCCGGCGGAAGGGTGGACCCACACACATGGTCGCGGATGCTATGCAGCGCAGCCCAGCATGCGACAATGGCCCAAACAGCACCGCCAAGCCTGCAATTTGCTCGTCAACCATGCTTCGAAACCACGACCATGCTCGTGTACCTCCAACGTCTTGGAGTCGGACTGGCCCTCGCCCACGTGCAAGTCAGCCAGCTGCAGGATCCTGAAGGTGCCATCCGCGCTGAAGCGAAGAGGGGAGGCGGAGAGCGCAACCGGTATGGTCAGTAGCAAAATGGCTACCACCAGCCCTCTCATGGCCCCACTGGCCAGTCAGATCATCCAAAAGAGTTAAGAAATCAAAATGAGAAGTTGCACCGGTCGGGGGATGCCAATATTCCACCCGGCCAGCCAGGTGTCCCAAGGGGGAGAAGTTGGATGATCTAATGGCTGCTTTAGCTTCGAGGCAATGCGAACAGGACGTGCACATTGAGCTGAAGAGGATCAGATGCAGGAGCCAGACATGCACTTGCTTGCCGCCGCCGCCGCCGCCGCCTCCTCCTGGACGCATCTGGCGCCTGCGCCCGACTGCCGCCCCTGCAGGTGCACCGGTCCTGGCACCACATCCCCTGCCCCTCCGCCTCCACATGGTGGTGCGAGCTTACAGCGTGCACACACGTCACATCAAGGCTGCAAGTCCACAGCAAGGGCCCCTCACCCCTCTATCTTCTGCCGCTTTGCAAACTTGTCGCCCAAGCTGCCAAACACGCCCTCTGGCACCGCCTGCTGCTGCACCTGCACGCCGTCCTCGCCGTCGCCGCCATCGCCCTCCCCGGCAGCCTCCTCCGCCTCCTCCTCCTCCTCCCCCAGCTCCAGCTCTTCCGGGTTGGCGGGCGCAGCAGCGGCGCCGCCGCCAGCAGCCGCCGCCTCCTCCTCCTTGCCCTGCTGGATGACGCCGGCCGACACAAAGCCCCGCACGCGCGTGCCCGGCTCCAGTGCGGCCGGCGCAGGCGCCGCGGCGGCGCCCGCCACCGCCGCCTCCAGCGCCGCCATGTCGTCGCCACCCTCCCGCTTGCGCTTGGCGCCGGCCTCGCCCACCACCGCCGCGGCGTCGATGATGGTGGTGTTGAAGTGCTGCTGGCTGAAGGAGGCGGCCACGGAGCGCTTGATGCGCAGCATCTCCCTGCAGCCCGGGGGCGGCGGGGGCGGGCACAGGGCGGCAGCGCAGGTCGGGCCGCGGCACCAGGCAGGGAGGGCGCAGGCGGCGGCACCAGGCAGGGAGGGCGCAGGGTCTTGCCGCACGCTGCTGTGCCGGCGGGTGCCGCCGCGGTGCCTGTCGCCGCGCCAGCCTCCAGCCCCCAGCCCTCCCCGCCCTCACCCACCCCGTACCCCCAGCCCCCACCTGAACGTGTCCTCGTTGCCGTGCTTGACCTCAAACGCGTTCCACTCGGCCCAGAAGTCGCGGTCGCTGCGCGGGTCTGCCAGCGAGGCTGCGTGCACAAAGATGGCGCGCGCGCGGTCCACCTCGCCCAGCCGCCGCTCCAGCGCGGCGTAGCGCAGGCACAGCGTGCGCGTGTCGCCGTCGGTCAGCGCGTACGGCGGCTGCGCCTCGATCGCGCTCTCATACACCTCGCGCACCTGCAGCGTGTGAATGTGTGTGTGTGCGCATGCGTGTGTGCAGGGGGCGGTGCAACGGCATTCTTGGCGGGGCCGGGCCAGGCAGCAGCCCCGGCCTGCAGGCCCCACTGCCCTGCACCTTAGCCCAACCCCTGCCTCCCTCCCTGCGCCCCGCCTCCACACCCACACGTGCCCCCCACACCCCCACCCACCCCCACCCCCACCCACCTTTCCGAT